ATATGTATATATATAGTTTTCTAATTTTATTGGGCATTTTCAAAAAACTAATATCGTTATGCCTTTTGGTTACCTCTCCTGTTCCTACACAATATGTAAGCCTATCTATATAGTGGAGCGAGTTAAGTTACCTCATACAAGGTACTGCGATTTATAACTTTCCCGATACACATCTGTTGATAATTGTTTGGGATCGTCCTTTCACCTCATTTTTAAAGGACAAAATTATTTGAATAGATGAGTAAAACCTTTTTGATTCTTCATTTTTCACTTTATATATATATTAAGACGTTTATAGAGGTAGAGTTAATCTTATTTTGTGCTCAATAGATTGGTGTACGCGAGATAAATAGATACATAATCGTGTTCACCCCAAAGCGAGCCACAACTAAGCATATATAGTCACTTATTATTATTATTACTATTCATATTATTTTTATTTTATAAATACACATAGATAAAAGGCTAATTTTTATTTATAGATTCTAGAAAAATATGCCGCGAAAGATCGTCAATAAACCAGCTGTCCCTACACCGAAATCGAGAAAGAGATGTCTAGACGTGGAAGTAAAAGAAAAAAATGAAGAGGAAGAAGATTGCACTCCGCTGCCAGGGCGGGAGGAAGAGTACGTTGCAGTTTTGTCTTTTCTGCTGGCGCGTGTCCAGCGTCGGCATTGCCGCGCGTTGTTTATTTTCGGAGCTTGTGGAAGCGGCAAAACCTCCACGACGCTACGCGCGCTGCGCTCTTTACATCCTCAGGGGCTTCCCTGCGATAAACTAAAGCGTATTACGGCCGTGCCCCCTGTGAAACCACCCTCGCCGCGTAAATATCGAAAACTCGAGACGACTCCCGTGGAAGGTCCTCACCCCACAAATGGAAAGGAAACGGAGGTTGAATTAGCGGCGGCGGGGGAGTTGTCAGTCCCCTGTTTTCTCCCCGTGACCAGTCACGACGCTGGCGGGGGGGAGCCCACCCCTTCCTCGGCAGGAAAGCCCACAATGGCGGAGATCCGCGCGGAGTACGCGGTGCTTTACGGCGATTATCCCACCACCACCACCACTAATAAAACGAAAATCCGTACTGGAAAGGCGCGCGGGGGGTCCCCTAAGCAGTCTCCCGTGCAGGGCCATTACATCAACTGCTCGGACCTCACCCCCCAGCAGCTCATCACGGCGCTTTCGGAGAGCCTGAGAGGGGCCTCCCGCCGCCGATCCGTTCTGCTGGACGCCCTCCCGGGGTTTTTAGCCCCCCGTCCTGCGCGAAAGCCCCTGCGGCGGGCGGGAAGTCGCGCGGCCCCCTCCAACCCCGCTGAGAATTCTTCTTTTTCGTCCTCCTCGCAGAGGAAGGGGGTGCTTGAGGTGGTGGTGTTGGACGAAGTCGAGTACGTGCGGCCGGCCGCGCGGGGGCTGCTGGCGGGGCTCGCGGCGTGGTCCTTCGCGAACCCGACCGCACTCGCGCTGATTTTTATTTCAAATACGCGCGAGCTCTCGCATGTCGCGCCGGTGATGCTTGAGGAGCTTGCTTTTAAGGCCTATACACTCGAGACGCTCCGTGAGATCGGCCGCGCGGTCGTCAGCCGCGAGGTCGCCGCGTTTACTCGCCAGAAAGGATGGGGGTCCATGCCCACCTCATCGCGGTCGTCTTCTGCTGTTTCGGCCTCCCCTTCCACACGAAAAGGAAGTTCGGTTGGAAAGCGTGGGAAGCGTGGCCGGAGCTCCGCTCAGGAGGAGTCTTCCTCTTCTCTTTCTTTATATTCGTCGTCCT